AATTTTTTTCAGTTTTCATTGGTGAAATTTATACTTATCAAAAGATAAAGTTTAGCAAGAGCCATCGTTAACCCGGAAATATGGATGAGGAGTCAGAGCTTATGATCATAAAAACGAAGACAATCAGCTCATGTTGTCCAGCAATCCAAGAAACAGCGCACTGATACAAGCGGGAGAGGTTTATGAAAACAATGCTGTAACGCTATCTCTTAACCGAAATTAAACCAAAAACTCAAGTCAAATCATTCCTGGTTCAATGACTGCCACAAATATACATTTAAAATTTTTAAATATTGCTGTAAGGAATAGTTGAAACAAAAAATTCCAAACACACAACTCTATCTAAACATTAACTGTAATATCGATATTTACCAAAATAATCTTTAGCAAAATTTGAAACATACAAAAATTACGAATGAAAATATCAAATAAAAAATTCAATCAACGAATGCTTGTTCTAAAATTTCCAAAAAAATTAAAAAAAGAAACAGAAAAGCATCATAAAAAAAATATGCGTTTCTGTTTCTCTTGAAGTTCTTGAAAGGGTTAAACGTTACGATACAATTTCTCTTTTGAAAAGATGTGACGAATTAACAACTTATCAAATTCAGCGAATCAATTAAAAATGTACATATTTTGATAAATTAAGTATATTGGCAGTTAGAGATGCTGCAAACAACAGCGTGCGTTAATATCAGAAATTATAAAATACAAATAATTGCCAAACTTTTTTAGTCCAAAGTAATAACAACACAATAGAAACATAAATGGGATTAATAATAATTAGATAATAATTAGAGGTGACAATTCGAAACTTAAGTCGTTATTTCCAACAACTTTATAATTTAGATGCCTTTCTTATTTCCTGACAGAGGAGAAAGATGAGAGGGAAAAAAAGGACATGTTATCATACAGTGTACCTGAATGGAACAGATATCCCTGATGCCTTTAATGAAAATTCAGCTGACCAATCCAAAAGATTGAAATTTCTAAATCCAAAATTAGGTAAAAAGGACCAAATCAGAGCATCTTAACTTACTTAACTTAGATATACGATATCCTTATATATAATGAAAAAGCAATGCATTGTTAACTTCAGTTCTCTATCCACACTTTGAATCCGCGTCTTCTGAATTAACGAACAAGAAAAATTGAGGTGCACAATTTGTGTTGAAAAAGATAGAAAAGAAAAACAAAAACAAAAACCAATCGGTTCTTCCAAGTATTTGACATACAATAAATAATTTGCAGAATGAAGTATAAGAAAGACAATGCTATGCCATCATCTCGAACTCCAACTAATCCATCCCTAATGCTGCACATCGCACTTTGGACGCTGCCTTCAGAAGTTGTTCGAAACCAGTTCTGAAAGAAAATGCTCATTACAATCATGAGAATTTACCTGAAATTTGAGTTATAAATACCATTCATAAACGACTACACCTATGGAGCATTCGTTGGTGATACAATGTAAATGGAAGATCAGTTTCTATTTTTGGAAACTACAAGATTTTAGAACAGAAAAAAGTACTCCTCTGTTGAACCAAGCTTGATTACTTGATCTACGGTTAATCCTACTTCATTACTCATATTTACATATTTCCTTTGATCATACTACTGCATACACTGATGAAACAATATATGGCTAAATATTACAATAATATTTAGCTAAGAAAAGGTTTCGACAGCTACGATGAACTTTTTCCATGACATCTGAAGTTGAAACAATGAAATCAAAAAAAAAAGAATTATGCTGTAAGAAAAAGGATAACGAGTCTACCTATAATCCCTTACATCATATGAATGTGACTTAGATGGACCTAGTTAATTGTCAAGTTTTCGTTTTACTCTGAAAACAAAAGATGGAGATTAGCAAATTAAGAGACGGATGAATTTCAAAAAAATCAACATATGACTTAGTATTTTAACTTATAATCTTCGAAGAAATGTTAAAAAATACGGTAACTCAGCGATGTAACACTTTGAGAAATAGACATGTCGGCAAATATTCAAATGTTATTAAAAACTCAACAACAATAAACAGCTTACGTTGCACCAATTTCATCACTTGGTTCGCTAGGAGTCTTCTCTACCGTTTTTAGCAATGCATTTTCAAAAATTTCATTTGCCTCACTTCCAGAACAGTAGCGAATCTATAAATATAACAACTCTACTGAAATAAATTAACTAGAAATTTTACAGTTTGATGAAAGTTACGCCGCATGGATGTATATCACATGCATAGTAGACTTATAAAATCTCAAATCTAATAATACTTTTCTATCAAATAATATTCAACATTACTATTAATATTAGTCAAAAAAAACCTGTGTAATAGCAAACACAACTGCTTCCGGTACTGCAACTGTAGTAACATAGTGCAGCCGCCGTAGTGATGATTTCATTGCATCCTTGAATTTGGCAACAGTTGCATCCAAATGCTCAACCAGTAAAATTGCATCCGTTTCTGGTAGTAAATCTCCTGAGAAAAAGTATACAAGCAATTAAAACTAGTAAAGAATTTAAATTTTATGCGTAGGTGAATTTCTTGGGATTCAAAAATCTACCCGAAATTGGGAAATTTTAAATAAATCAAATCATAGTTCCCAAAATCAAAATCAAGTCTCTTTTACTTTGGTAGGAAAGTTAGAAATGGAATAAATAGAAAACCATTCACTATACTGAAAGCAGTATCTCCATTACATAGATCATCGTCTCAGTTTATCAAACTAACCAGTATTTAATTCAAAGTGCAGCGGTGCCATAACCGGTGGTTCATAACTAGCATGACGTGTGCATGTGAACTGACCAGTCCAAATGGCCATCAAATGTCTTGCGCACATTTCTGACTTGCATAATCGTAAGATTTCCTTGGGTGCTAAAACACTGCTTGATGCAGTTTTGCATCCGTTTTCTCGGATGTTTGAATTCCCTGGAACATAATAATTGCCTGAATGCTTTAGTACAAATCAATATAAAAATCAATACAAAATAATAGTTACGTTCTTTTAGTGTAATTCATTTCTCGAATATATCATAGTACTACATCATAAATTTAATGCAACTGCATAATAACGATTTCAAGAGAATGCATCCAGCTCAAAACTGCATAACATTAAATCATAGTAAAATATATTTTAATTATACCATTCTTATCAAAACTGCTCCGTTCATCATCAAAAGGTCGATAACTACCTTCAGCAATTTCATCAGCTTGCTGGATAGCTGCTTTTAGTTCCTCATCCTCGATCTCCTCAAATGTGATCAATAGTTGCCAAATGTTTAAAAAATAACGCAACAGGAATTAGGAACTAATAATTTCATAGCTTTGATCAATTACGGATTGACAAATGCTTACACATGACATTACCTTAATACATTTCATCAAGCATAAAATGTTTCTAACAACTTTTCAATCATGTTCAAGCATGATAGGAAACCAGCTGATAATCATCAACGCAGCAATGTAATCAGTAAAAACAGCAAAAAATCTTGCTAAATGTTTTCTTTAAATGAACTTTACCGAAGGGAATTTTGAAACATGAAATCCAAAACAAATATAATTCGAATTAATAATGGTTGGGCAGTATCGAAGCATAATGATATACAAATCAATTATGTAACCTGCTAAGAACAATCTGCATAGACATAAACACATACAGAATAGCGAAGACAGTGTGAATCATCAGCTTAACCAGCGGTTAACGTAGTGAAGGACAAATTTATAAACTGCTCTAACTTACATCAACTTTTGCTTCCACTGTATCATATAGATAGATGTTTTTCAACTGCACTACGAGAGTCTTTTCTGAATTCAGACACCTAAACAAAAAATCTTATTGACTGATGATAGACTTACTATGCATAATTATGTTTTTTCCGGAGTTGAATGCTCGACAATACTTAATATATAAGGAAATATAAAGCACTTTCACAACTTTAACTTACCATTCCGCATTAGCTGACATATCATCCAAAGGTAGCTCAGTACAAACACATGATTTATTAACGTTGTCAACTTTCAAAACCTAGAAAAAATAAAAGCCAGTAAATAAATGATTATTATGAGCAAATGCTTTATTCGTATAAAATATAAACAAAAAGTTGGATAATTTTTTTTAATCTCTAATTTTTTTTAGGTTAAGAAATATCTTGATTACGAAAATCATAACACTAACAGAATGTGACAATTCAACTTCTTAATGATGTTAATGAAAACTGTCGCCAGCAAAATCAAATAAACCCAATGATATGGATTAGTTTGACTAATAAATTGACCACGTGTCTGGAGTGCATCACTTTTCAAGTGAATAAGGAAACAGAAAATGAAAAGTACTCAATAAAATTAACATACGAGAATAGGCCACTTCACGATACGACCACTTCGTGCTCGATTAATCCAAGCCAGATCACCTTTACTTAAATTTTCCAACTTTTCGCTTAATTCAGTTTCTAAATCTTTCATAACATCCGAAAATTTCTGTCTTTTTGCTGCTGGAGACGGTGATTTATCCAAATGTCTCTTTCCTAAAACTTTTCTGCTTGAAACAGTTTCCCCATTTTCGAAAAACCTCATTCATATTTCTTCATTCACAAACAGCAACATCAATATCCTTTAATTTCGTCTAAGAAGCTACCATATTTGACATTTTTTTCTTTCAAATGATGGATCATATTTCTTACAATCTTGTATTAAGGAAGCGCACAAAAATCTTTCCTATAATCAAAACCAAAAAGTTATCAGCTGTATTGAAACTCACCATCGCGTTTATTTTCTCTTTCTCTCAACATTCCAGCTAATTTCGCTTCTGCTTCACCATCCATACACTGCAATTCCTCTTCCAAGCCACCAGTAGCACTTCTACCTTTTCTATCACGTCCCTGCTGTGTGTCATTTTCAACATCAACCTTTGTAGTATCATTATCCTCTGTGTCTGATTTCTCTACGTTGTTCATTTGTTCTCTGCGTTTGAAATATTTCATAACACTTTGAAGTGCCATACGCAGTTCGCAATTTCGTTCCTGAAAAACAATTTATATACATATATAGTATTAAATGAAAGATTGAAGCACTATATGTTAAGTAATTCAAGATTATCGGAACTGCAACATTAATGGAGTAGGATCGCAACGATATGAAAACTAGTCAGATCAAAGCTATAATGTAATGCATTTATTAACTAATAAAACAGCCAGCAGCATAAGTCAGCAATATAGGAATCATGACATATAAATAAAAGGAAAGTAGTCCAAAAATAAAGGCACTAAGCTTAGATAATGTACATGGAAATAACAAGTGCACTCATAGCACCATAGTATTGGTTAACGAGTTGGATTTCTCTAGTTTAAGTTTAAATTATTTGTTTAGAGTTTTAGAACTAATTCCACTACTGCCGAATATCAACAAAAAACGATCAACGTGAAAACACGTCCAAAACTTTGAATCATTTTTAGAAATACAAATCAATGAACTATTATTAGCATGATAAATAAAAAGAGTTAGTGCTAAGAAAAAAGAAACCTTTCTGATAGCAGCTTCCAAATTTTTGCCTGTTAATTCAAATTTCTGACAAGCACTCAGTGGGTAACGCTCGGGTTTGCAATTAAATTTGAGTGGAAAAGCATCCACCATTGCAAATTTCTTCTTCAATTCACGGATCTGAAATCATTCGTTTCATAAGTGTTCCATAAGCATCATTACAACGATAATATTATTAATAGATAAACTTAGAGCGACTATTAATTTCATATAAAGTATAATCATGTTCTGATTTATCCAACATACAGCGTATTCTCAAAGGAAATGAGAATCACGAAGGTCAGATCTATTCTAAAGGTCATATATATTTTTTTTATCACGTTAAATTCAATTATTTTTAGAAAATAGCAAATCTCGATGAGGCCTAAACACCTGAATTAAAATAAGTACAAGTCGGTATTCAAATTTTTTCAATTAACTCATCCCATTTCATCAAAACTTACCACAACTGGCCATTCAGAATGATTTGGCATACTAAGCCAAACAACTTCACCAATACCCCAAACGTGCGGTGCGCTTGCATTACTTGCCGTATCGCCGCTACTTGCTGCATCACTATCTTTCTTAGTCTTCTTTACAAGATCACCCAGTACGCTCTGCTTATTGATTTCACTCGTTTTAAAAGCTGCTAATTCTTCTGAAGAAATGATTGTTATAAATATTGACAAAACATTCTTGGATTGGAAAAATGTTTTGGGATTAAAAGTCCATTTTCCTGAATGGCTTTACATTCCAGATCGATTTCCTCGATGATTGATAAATTTCTACATTATTTTTTTAGTTAAAGAGAATCAATTACTACCCGTAAAAGTATGTTGAGATAATGGTCGGCGCTATTTTATGTTAACGTTTTTTTCCGAAGTCACGAATGACTAGCATATATCTCCTTCAGAGTTTGATATTCGTAGGAAGAAAAAATTTTTAGGTCTCAGTATTTACAATTAAAGGCTTTAATCTTCTTATGCTTTTATACCTGACATATGATGGCCAGCACCTAGAAGCCCACTTTTCTTCAATATTTCAAGTGCTGCCTTATACGCTTCCTTCATATCATTTTTTGCTCCAGCAGGTAACTATAAAAGATAATGACATTAACAGCAATCATCAACTTTCACAGAATTAGAAATTGAACAATTTAAAAGGTTATACTAACAGGTTCATTGCCAGTTAAAAGTCGAAGCTTTTGCGGTGGACAACTGAAAATTGATGACTTCAGATTTGAACTTTCGTCAATTGGCAAAAACGTGTAAGTGACTTTTTTCGGATAGACGCAGCGAACCTGAAATTTGCTAGATTTTTCATGCTGCTTTTAATCTTTGCAGGGCAGAAATAAACAGTTTATTTAAAAAACAAACCAGCGCTGGCCATTCTGGAAAACGTCGATATGGAGCCCAAACTACATCGCCAGTTTTCAGATCAGCTGAAAAAAAACTGCTGAAATCCAATTTTTACCATTCAAAACATTTCAAAACAAGGGCTTTTTCTGAAAAATTGATCTATTTTGATGCCAAACGCACAAAAACCGTTTAATCAGTGGCAGCCACTAATGCCAGAAAATTAAAGTCAAATGTCACTACGATATGAACCTTATCAGTGCTACTGCTACCACCATTAAAAAAGTAGTGATAATGCATCATAAGCTACAGAACTTTCTTATCAAAACTAAATCATTTTCACACAGATACACACACATACACGCACGCACTTATTTCGTGTATGACTCAATAAAAAGACTTCAAATTTAATAATAAAACAAATCAGCATAACTCGAAATTTGACAAAACCCAAACAACTCAAAATGTTTCAGTGAAGTGATAGACATCTCAATTTTATAGAAACTTCTTTCACACTTTTCACATATGGAGTTGTGTGAAAGAAGTTTCCATAAAGTTGAGAAGTTCCTAAAAAGTCATTATAATAACGGATAAAACAATCACATCAGTCTTATCAGTGAAAGATATAAAGAAAAAAGGATGAAAATATAGCACTCTCATGCATCTATGAAGTATTAAAATAGCCAACTAGAAAAGTGTATAATTGACGTTTCAAGTTATCAATTATCATTCCTTACCTAACAATTATTAACGCTGTCATGGAAATTAAAAAACAATTAAATCTTGTAGAAATTAAAAATGGGTCAACTCACAAGAAGTGATATAACTAACAAACATAAGCGGACCTGAGGAGAACTTACACGTTGGTGTTGAATTTTTCACAGGTCGTCGTCCCATTCTGCGTTATTATGACGTTCGGAATTCTTCACTTTTATACGATATTGATTTGATGGAAAATTTTTTAATCCTGGAATATTTATAATTAAAAATTTCTATATTTGATCATTCTAATATCAATCAAATCGATCATATCATGTATTCTATCAGCCATTCAGATCATTCAATAATTAAACGGCTACTAGGACGACATATTGACAGAGTACACATGTATTTTTCACTCTTCCACTTTCTCCTGAAATTAATCAGATACTTCCAAAATTACACTATTATTCCATGTCAGTGCTATTATTTAAAAGATTCTAAAATTAAAATCTAATCTGAAGTGATAAAATTATTTGCATAACTTAGAAGTTAAACAATAAAATATGAAATTTTACAATGATTTCTTACAATCATAAAATCCTTTATCATGAAGCTACCCTTGGTAAAATATCAACGTTTGGGATATAAAGTACTTTGATAAAGTACCAATAAAAGAGAAAAACAGTAAACAAACCACAATCCATTCACACAAAGTATTATCACTTAAATAAATTTGCAGCCGAATTTATGTAGTATAATATAGGCCGTATCGCGATGAAATTTGCTATCCCATCTTTAAATATTGAAACGAAAAATTCTAACCGCCCAGCAATCCTGTAAGCAGTGTTAGTTCTTTATGAAAATTGCTAAAATAAATTTTAGCAGAGGTCACTGAGCAATTACTTCCAGTCGAATCCGCACAAAAACAAGATCAATTGACTCTCTTGCTAGAATTTTCTAGAACTATTTGCAAACAATCATCCTATGCAATTAATTTGCAAAAACAAATGCTAATCAATAATCACTTTTATCTAACTAAATTAAATCTCCAAGAGAAAACTTTTTTTTTAGAAAACTAAGTTCAAATTAATTTTCAACTAACTCATATGTTTACAATATATACCAGAAAACCATAAATAACTTCTGTTGTAACAGCCAATAATATTTCAAAGGTGATCGTCGATATAAAATAATTCCGATGAGCTATTGATATTAATTATTATAAGTTCAAAATTGCCATTAATACCAAACGAAACTGTCGTAAAGATGTTTTCCAGTGACTCTAAAAAAGGAATTAAATCTAAAAATCGTTAATTACAGTGATAGTTACAACAGTGGCAAAAATTGAACTTGTGACTTTAGTGCTTAACATGAAGTATTTGAACTTCTCGAACAACCAACATATTTCAAAAACAAGTCATGCAATGTTTGCATTTCGCGGACTCAGAATTCTATTCAGTTAAAAATTCCCAACCTAAATCATGAATGATTTGTTTTTAACGACTAATCCCTAAATCTTGCCTACTTCCCAAACAATCATCCTATTTTATAAACTAAATCAATTATCAGTAATATTTACATCAATTTTCTTATACACTTTTTTTGAATAAAGCTCTAATAAAAATTCAAAAAATTTTCATAAATTTTAAAAAATCAAAAGAAAATGCACATTTTATAGTCGTTTGAGATTTTAAACTTTTAAACATTCAAAACCCAATTTCATTTTTGTCGGTTTTCCACTGCTTTTCCCCCATCCTGAAAGATATAACCAGCTAAAGTTAAGAACAAAAACAAAAAAAGATTGAGATTTCCGAAAGAAAATTCATTTTATTTAATAAATGTTCAAGCATTTAACTTCATACCGTTCTATTCGCCACTTACTTCTTTCGCTCTCCCTGTAAAGGTATGATTAAGTGAAGATGAAAGCTTAAGCGACCATTTCATGCATCAGCAAGCATGATTTAATGAATAAATTCAGGTTATGCAAATATTCGCGAACTTCAATGCATTATAACAATTCTCACAAAGCTTTATTCCACTATTTGATTCCTTTATTGATAAGAAAAAAAAATATCGCAAATTTATAACACACTAATATGCTTGAAATATGATAAACAAAATACACAATAATTATATGAATACATATTCAACATAATTGAACATAATAAATAAAACACATAATAATTATACAAATAAAAATAAAGCAATATATTTAGCAGCGCAGAAAAAAAAGCTATTTGATATGGGAATTAATCCTTCCCGAATAAGTTATTATTGCACTCTCAACTAGACTTACACTTTCTCACTGAAATAAGAAGACTTGAGCTTATTATAACTGTCTGGCTATTATTAAAAGTGTGTTCTACCCTTCCTTAAATTTACAGACAACAATAAAAAGGCACTGTTATTAAAAGTGTATTCTATTCTTCCTTAAGTTTACAGGCAACAATAAAAAGACACTGTTATAAGTGATTTATTTTTCCTATTTACACGTTATCATAGATGTAAAAGAAATGAAATGCACGGCATTATATTTTGAATGATGAATCTATTACAACTATGAAAAAGTTTACAAAAACTGCTACGTTTCAATTTAAAAAATTTCCTTTTGTTGGAAGCCTAGAAAAACTTGCCAACTTTAAAATTTTATATTCAACAAGATGTACTTAGCTTATCGTCAGTCTTAACAGAATTGATAGAAAACTATTAAACAATGTGAAAGATTTATTAGATTGGAAGAATCGATTTAAAAAATACACATGCGAACTAGGATTTTTACTCTGACTTAAAGTTTTTTTTTATCAATTTTTGACCGCCATAATTATTATCCCAACAGCTCTAATCTTTGGTTTCTGTTACTGTTCAAGTTTTCACGATTATTACGAATAAATGACTTAACAAGCACAAGATGGAAGTTACAGATAGAAAACAAAAAACTGCTCGAGGTATTAATGACAATTTGCACTAATTTGTAGTAAATTATTCGATAGAAATGAAAGATCACAGATAAGTATAGAGGCCATTATCAGAGGATAACATTAGCACAATGCAACTTCCAAACTAAAACTTATTCAACAAATAATCATTTTCAAATAAAAGCATATAAAATGCAAGATACAACACTGCAAGAAATAAAAAAAATGAAAACTAATGAGCTGCAAGAAAAATTAATAAACTCATATTAAATCAGAATATAAACAAAATTATGGAAAATTTCTAAATAGCTACAATGGAAAAATTGAGTAGACAATGTCATACAATATTCTCAAAAATTGTTGGGATTCAGAAAAGCAGATATAAATGCACTAAAATCTAAATTTGAGAATCTTCTACAAATTAAAAAGAATCTCCAGTTTTATATGACTCTTTTCAAATAAAAAAACGTTAGATATCGAAAGTAAACCATAAGTTTAGGAACGAATCTGCTGCCACGAGCTCAAGAAGGAAAAACCATCCATGGACCATTTTTTCAATATTATAACTATGAAACAAAGAGTTGCATCATCAGAATTACACTAAATAACCGATTTTATAATAAAATAAAAATAAAAAAATTAACTAATTATTCCTATGATGATAAAGACAGAATATTAATTCTGCAACAATTTGGGAAGTAAATTGTAATTTAACTTACACATTACAATTTACAAACTTTTTTGAACAGTACCTAAAGGCTAAATATGTAAAACAAGTATTCCACGGCTTTAGCTCGGTTGTCTGAAAAATATGTGGTAAAATATTTGATTAATCTGTCGAATTCTTAACTGCTATCGCTTCAAAGTTTTTCAATTTTCAATAGCTGATTGATGCGCATATAAACAGTGTCATATACCGTAAAACTAATACCAACCGCAATCGGACCCTGAAATGTTACATTTTCTAATCCCTAAATTTTTAATTTTCCCAAATACTCGAGTGTTCCAAAATATTCAAAGCTTCCGTATGATTGCATAAGTGCTTTTATACTCTGCCAGATGCACATCCAACTGATGAAAATCACCATAGCTAAATTTGACCTCCTGTTGTAATCTTGAGGATCTGGATGGCACAAATGTTAGCATAAGGCGAAAAGAATTATGTAAGAAGACAGATGAGATCCTCAATTCATCAGTGAACTAATTTAATCAACAGTGCCATTTTAATTAATTGTTTTAAACTTACTTTGATCCAATTCAAACTGAGACCTTTATAAAGACCATTTTTGATACCTTCGGTCTTCCCGATAATATATAGACTATAAAAAACATTATCTCCAATAGGAATACGTAGCGTTTGCATGCGACGTCGAACAATATCAAACGGGTAGGATGAGGATTGACCAACTAAACCAGCAAAACCACCGAAAAGAAAACGATATACGGATGGAACTTCTCTGTTCGTTTTCTCTGTAAGGTAAACTTTTCAATTTGTAAACTGCTGAAACTTTTATTTTAAGTTAAATCATTTTGGGAAATCATTTTTGGAAATTTATGGCAAAGAGAAATAAAATGAAAAAATTATTTACACTTTTTGGAAATTTATAGCAAAGAAAAAAAAATTATTTACACTGCTTTCTTGCTTTCCAAGATTTCATTACTCCAATATTATATACACGGATGGCTATAATATACATGCATCGTACTAATCAACATCGTCCAGCATTGTGAAAAAGTTGATTGCTTGATTTAGTTTTAAGAGTTTGAAATCAGACTTGACGTCAATATAACTATCTTGTTATTTCTCAATTATAATCAGTTCTTTCACCGAGTAAAAAATGAAATTTAATCGAAAACTCACCGAAATAAACTAATTTAAGTGTTTCAAAAATGAAGAAGCTTGCGCCCGCGTAGGGTATGGCTCCTAACAAGGCTGGAATTAAACCGCTGTAGAATGTTCTGTAATTAAAGTTTTCGCAAATCGTCAAAATATTGTACGGTACACTATGAAATTAGATATATAGCATTTTCTTTACTGACAATTCCATGTAGCAATAAAGTCCGATTATGCGTTTCAAATGATAATTCATATTCTACTTGAATTAGTGAGTACAAATAAACTTGGTATCAGGTAATGACATGCAAATTAAGTAAACCAAAAAAAAATATTAAAATAGCTTATTTATCTAGCAAATTATAACCTGACACCATATCTTTGGTAATCTTTGACGAAAACATTTAGTAAGGAACTATATTCATCGACAGTTGATGTAGCTAAACGTGCTTTGGCTGTATCCAGTGGATATGTACATGTTGTTGCAACTACTCCTGCTAAGGATCCCGCGATGTAACGCTTCATCGGAGTTCTTCTCCTGAATAGCTGGAGGTTAGTTGCAATTTCAAACCTTATTTTAGCATATCAGATGGAATCTTCTATGAAATCAAATTTTAAATTTTAATGACAAAGATCAAACTGCGATAGAAACACATTTCTAGAATTCTTCATATATAACATTTTGTTTAAATGCTAAGAACTATAAGTATATCAAATTACACAACAGAATAAATAGAATTTCTGGAAGCTAAACATAACGCTATAAACAGTAAGTAATGCACCAAAATCCGAGATAAAATGAACGATCACAAAACGTTCTCAGCACTTTAATGTTATAAAAAGATATCGCACCCTCTACTGCCCAAATGAGCAAAAAATTGTTAATTACCCATCCTTATCAACCTTCAGTATGTGTTTGATTTCTTCATGCGCTCCAAATTGAATTACCGCATATGGTACAATGCGCACCATCATCGCGGAATTACCACGCCACAGTGAAATCAAACCAGTTGTTTTGTATGTATTTTTGATAAAATTAAGAGCTGATTTCATTGAATAGTGAGCATTCCCAGAAACTAAATTAAATACGTATCTAAATATCTAAATATCTTAAATATATAAATTTTTGGTGTTATTTGGAAAGGAATGAAAAAAAAAAGCTTTTAACGATTTCAGTTTTTTACAAACAAACTTTGGATATGAATGCCACAGAAACAAAATGAGAAGCTACTTTGAAAATTAATCTTTGTTCGATCAAGCGGTGCAATGGTAGTTTTGGCTATAGCACCAGCACATGCACCAGCTGCCAACGATGCAAATATTGTTCGACTTGATCGATTTTTCTGCAAAATGAGTTGAAAAAAAATCATCTATTACAATGAAAAGAATAATAAAATAACATAAGTAGTTTCATAATTTTTTAATGAATACTACAAATTGATTTTGAATAATATATCCACCTATGATGCTCCATTCTTATCATCCGTATTAACATGATTTTTTCTAAAGTATAAGTAACCCAAAATATTGATTAAGCATCTATGCTTATAGCAAAAAATAAATAATTAAGTCTCCAAAAAAGCTTCTTAACATCTAAGCAGATGTTAAGGATAAATTGATACCATTTAACACACCAAATATATCGAAGCTTCTTTCCTATCAAAAAAGGAAAAAAAGAATTCACCTCTTCAGATTGTGACATTGTACTTGAATACCCTAGACTACATTTCCGTCTCAAAAATCTTTGATCCGCAAGTATTCCATCGCAAACAAAATTCCAGTAATGTAAACCATTACCGTTACTCAGAAATCATTAACTGATATCGAAATAACAGCTTCACACAAATATGAATAATCTGTAAAATGATCCTTTTTCTTACTTAATATGATTAAAAAAATGTACTCGAAAGAAACATCGTTTTCATTCTATTCATTTTCTCTGGAGCTTAGATAAATTGTGTTAATTTACATCATTGTTATTTATATCAACACACATAAATAAACAAAAAGAAAGTTACGTAACAGAACAAATACACTGGTAAGTATAAAGAGTAAAAGTAACAGAAGTATCCTTTTGATCTCATCATTGCTAGCAGATATTTTATGCTCTATCGTTACTTCAAAGTAATGTTAAACTGTATATCAACTTATTTAAATCATATTACTATCATAAAAATGATTACCAAACAAAACGAATAATTGATTATTTGAAGATACTAAGTTTAATTTTATATGATGTTGTATAAGTGCAGGACAGTAAAATTTTATATGTTAAACGCATTTATATTTTTGTTTCTGCATAGAAAAGATAATAGAATTAACAAAAGTTCCATCTTCAATTTAATTTTGTTTTATCACTTATAGCAATCGAATACAAATTTGAAAAAATCATTTGAATTTGATTGAGAAAGTAAGCTAAACAACTGAGCTTTAACAATCTGCCGGCTTATTGATTATTTCTGCTATCTGATTAAAAAACTGCAAATGAATGGCTGTTCAATCCATTGCAACAAAAAAAGTGAAATGACTTTTTATCTCATTCATCCAGAAACTCTCTATCAAATTTCACTTATCCAGAAACTCTCTATCAGAAACTCTCGATCGTCACTGCACTACTTGAAGTGACAACAAATTAAAGATGTATTGAATTTTAATTTAAGAAACATGAAATCGATAACGTCTACAGAAAAATCACAAAAAGCATAATATTTAACTTCGGCTACATTACTCACATATATTTAATTCAAAATTGCTATTAGTATTACTTATTTCTTCTAAATTTCAATTTCTCTACTAGCCATTCTTTCTGTTCGCTCTTTTACCATTTTAGTATTTAGGGCAAAAATGCTTCTATCTTTTCAGTAAAGAAATAATTTCCTAATTTCTATCTTTACTAACGACTTGACTGAAATTTCTGAAAATACAGATTGATTACGTCATGCTAAAATTTATCATTTATAGCTAGTAAACTTCCAACTTCATTATTGCTCTTTTAGGAAGAAAAATAGCAAAAATAATAAAACAGCAATTATAATTGCAACTCTTCAGTCACTATCATCATTTTTCATATAGTAATCAAATACTGAAAGACTTCGTTATAATTACTAGCAGACTAATTATTATTCAACAAGTATATTTCTTACAAATTACACTTCTCATTATTTATTTTTATATCTATAAATTCCATACTTATATCTTAAAGCTTATATTATTTTTACACTTCGCTTATGCTTTTCCAATTTATTTTTATGTACAGTTTATATTTCTCTAATTTTCAATAACAAAAATGGTCACAATCATTTATGCTAATTTCTAGAAAATAGAGTAAATCAATTGATTTACGCTATTTTCCAGAAATTTTTCTGGTTTTTGTCAGAAAATGATGTACCATTGGAAGAGAGTGGCAAATGATATACTATCAGCAAAAACCGGAAATCGTCATTTCACAAGAATAGTCAGGAAAACAGCAGGGAACACTCTCGAATCTCATGGGTAACGGCCGAGTCTTAATTTCCCGGAAGGTGGTATTCCGCATTTCGTCCCCATCCTTCTGCAATTTCTTTAGCTGACGTTGCTTAGCGTTTTGGAGAGGGACACGTGGAATTTTGAAATTTTAATGCCAGTTTAGAGTGTGATAGAATGCGGTTGTTACATATTGCATTCATTGTGCAATCATTTGCATTATTTGTCAATGGTGCAAAAGATTACTACGAAGTGTTAGGTGTTAAACGTGGTGCATCAACGGCACAAATTAAGAAAGCATTCCGAAACTTAGCACTCAAATATCATCCGGACAGAAATAAAGATCCAAGTGCACACGAGAAATTTCGAGAAATTGCCGCAGGTACTTGCTTTTTTTTCTTCTCTTATTTATCATATCAGATTTGATCAAGTTTTAGCATTTTTTAATAAAGATTGGAATTTAAATTTTTTGAAGCGATTACTGATGGAATATTTCTAATTCAGTTCAAATTTCATATTTCACTTGAATCAGCTGCATTTTTAAATTGAATTTGCTTGAAAATTTTCATTATTCTACATATTACTATTATAGCTAATCGAATTATTTAAATTTCATTTCATTTTATACTCCACATGCTAAATCTTCAACGATGGTACTGTTTCCATGGTTCTTTTACATGATCAATATAGGAATACTCCAACACACATCTAATGTATACTCGTTTCAATCAAATTTTAAATACTTTTTTCAACATTTACTTAACTTCAGAATATTGCTGATGAAGTGATTGCAGTGACTAAGTCTTATCACATGTTTTATTGTACAGTCGAAAAGAAATTTTTTCCTATATACTGAAACTTAAAGTTTTTTTTATTTTTTTTTTTGCAGAACATCTACTCACGAGTTTGTTGTACTTTTACGACTGTTTAAAACTTAATGCTTATTCTTAATTATGCAGTTATTAGTTGTTGTCTCATTTATTTACTTTAAGAATATGATTTGTATGAAATTTATCAAATAATACAAGCCTATAAAATATGGAATCTCATTCTCAAGTGGAATTATTTCCAGGAATTTTGAAGTTATTTAAGCATTTATTAATCAGCGGTAACGGAAGAGGGAGAAACAAGCTAATAGAAAAATTATCTACTAATCGTTCCGTGCCTTAATTTTAATGTCTCATGATCAACATTTGTCCAGGATTTTGTTTCGAGCTTTCTGATTTTCTTTTTCAACTATATTGCAACACAAATATTTTAGCATACGAGATACTTGCTGATGAACGAAAACGGCGAGACTATGATGCTGGCGGTTGGTCTGATGATCGGCAGCAACAGCATGCGCAGAGCTTTGATTTTGATTCTTTCATGCGTGAATTTCAAGAAAGTATGGTTATTTATTATAGAAATTTGTAGTTTTTTGAAATGTAAAAAAGTCTTTCAAAGTAGATTCAGTGCGATCTGTAACAATTCACGGAATGATTGCAGTCTCTACTTTCAGTTGGTAATATAAATTATACAAAATGTCGGTAAGGGAACATACTGTAAAGCAGAATTTTTTAAAAGTATTAACTTTTAAGAAAAAATATTAACTTTATAATATATTAATATTATATTGATAGCATCATAGAATGAAGCATAACTTCATTCAATCTTGATCTTCGCATGACTATTTTGTATGACTTTCTCCATCGCTAAGTTAGAAAATAACACATTTTGAATCTCTGGTTAATGGATCATCGTTGCATCGCTGTTTTAGGTATGAATATTCACCGAAGAAGTCATGACGGTACACATTGGAAAACCCATTGGCAAGGAACTCATGGACGCAGTTTATTTGATGATCTCTGGGAAGGTTTTGATATGTTTTCATCGTTCGGTGATTTTAGAAATACGGGAAGTTCCGATGGATTTGGTGAAATACATTTTGGAGATTTTCAGTCGCATCCAGCTGCAATGTACATGAAAGAAACAAATCAAAGAGGTATTATTTTAACAGTATGATTGAAATTTTTTTTGCCCAGATCGAGGAAAAAAGACAACTGATCTAAGCTGACTTAGATGAAAGAACATTGGAACATTTATCATAAAATGAAAAAAATCTGACAAGAGTTTGATTTTCAATAGCAAAATTGGTATATGTAGTGTTTTTGTATGAACGGTCGAAGTACATTTTTCATTTATGGCGGCTAAATATTTGAAACTGTTGAATTACTGTTATTTTTAAAAACCAAATTTACAGGACAGAGATGTAAAACGGTTACAAAAAAAACGGGTAATATGATGACTACGCAGACAATATGTACTAGTGGTTGACGTTTATATAGTTATCCAATATTTCATGTATAGAAATGTAGTATATTTATTTCTGAATGCAATGTACATATTCTCAAGTTGGATATCTTTCAAAAGCTGTTGTTGACGGAATTTAATACAACGTGGAATTTTTTATTTGTTTCAGTTCTATGTTAAATCCTTGCAAAGGAATATTTGATTAGCTATAAAGATCACTGCATAAAACAAATGTGGAGAGAACATGTAGTATTTAATATATTTTATTACTTAAAGGATATCCATTTCTTGTTATGGTGACATTATCGAAAATCATTTTGAAAAGATAAAGGGCAATCTAATTTAAGCATTTTAATGAGCGAAAATATTGGCTTTAGATAATAATAAGGAATATAATGATGAATCTGTGAACTAAATATTTATCAAGCATACTTTCTTATACACTTATGTACAAAGTATATTTCATATTGTGAGCAGTGAGAGATAATGGATGGTTTTAACTGTTACACCTATTTCAACAGTTGAAAATTTCGAACATATAAATAAATTATGCAAACATTACAAATAAATTATAGATAACTGTGCAATCCATGGCTTAAAGTACAGTGATAGTAAGCAAGCGATCTGAACTATTGCAAACATGTGAAATGGTTTCAGTTACAAATATATTCTGCATATTTATCCCTAATGAACTCAATCGTATTGCACTGAATATCATTTTGGCAGGATATCGTGTTCAACCCCCAGCTAATTCCTCCTTTCTTGGCTATTCCTCTTCTCCAAAGTGTAAAAATTACCTATTTTAATGTACAAAGTGTTCTTCTGGTCCTCTTCATTATTCAGTTTTCGCATATTTTCTCTTTTAATTTGCTTCAAATTTTTTTAAGCATAATAAGTCAGAAAGATTAACATTACAACCACGAACATGAACATTAAATGCAACAGGAAGCCAGATCATTCCATGAATGGGAGGAATCAAAGCGATATTTTAAATTAACTGAACAATAGAAAAATGCCTTTTAATATAATCTTGAATTAGCTCAGTACTTTTCTGTGGAATAAAAATTAAGCCTGAGTGAAGATATGTGTGAAAAATCGTCATACTAATTACTTACAGAAAATCAGTGTAGGCAAAGTCATATCATCGAATGGCATAAAAGATTTCAGTGCTTGAAAAACACAATAAGAGAAAAAATCGATGATTAAACATGTTCTGCTGGGAATTGAAATGGCGAATCTTCCCACAAATTGCGTCAAAATTCCTGCGAACAAAAAAAAAACGTAAAAGCTATACGTTGGAAAAATTTCTAAAATCGCCTGCGATTTCTTTATGTTTTCCCCATTGTTTATGTACAACAACGCATCATATATCAAATATTGTATTGTTGCTCAGCCACGTGAACGCCTGTGAAAGAAACTGTAAGTTTGAAAAGAAAGAATTCGACAAATTACCAGTTCAAATTTTAGTTCATTTATTGACAATATTTCTTCTGCGACACTCCTTAAACACATTCTACGCAAGGTGGGTCAGATAATCGTTTATTAAATTTATGAAACTATCTGTTTGTTTTTTGCTTGTAGGTAAACTAAACCTATCTCTCTTGTCTTTTAGCCTTCACCAGGGACCTATTAAGCTAGTTATTAGTATCACTCCAAAGTTATTCAGATTTGCCTTAAGAGAATTTTTGAACCTAGAAAACAACATTCAGATAATGGCTAATTGTTCAATACGTTGAATAGTGGAAGTAATTGGACGTCGTGAATCAGCAGGTCGAATTGAACGTCGCGTCAAACCGTAGAACGACCGTGGTGACAAATTTGAACTGGTAAAACGCCAACCAACATGCTGCCCACAATGCGAGCATTCGCGAATAGTCCATTTGTAACTGTAATTTCATTTTGCTTTGGTCACATATATGAACTACACCTTTTGTTCCACATAGTATCTTCCATCGTCTTGCTGGCTTTATCCAACATTGGTATAACGTGTTGAAATACCGAACATCTCAAACTATATGATGCTTCACTACACAACTACACAGTGCTGATATAACTCTGACAAATCTGTGATTTTTAAGTTAAAATTTAACAGTTGATTAGACCAGATACTCTTACAACTGATAATTTTTGATTTTAATGTTATATTAAAATATTACAAATGAATTTTTAGATGCAATTAAATGACATTATTTAAAGTTATTCCTTCTGTTATTAAGAAACTGTTTCAATAACTAACCCTGGAAACCAGGAGCATTCGTCTGACGGTGTTCCGCGTGGTACCGTTGAAACTACTTCTGATACGGTAAATAAATCATGTACATAACCACCTAAAGATATGCTTTTTGAACAAAACTTGACAAATATTAAAGTTTCAAAAATATAATGAAATATAAAAGACCTAAGAGCAGAAATAAATTTTCAAAAAACCACAAATGACTTTTATAACATATCCTGATCACAAGGACTCTAATTGCTTTCTTCCTTTTTTTGCTGAAATATGAAAAAAAGATCAGCAAATGAGTTTCGAACCTGATTTCGCGTTATAGTTTGAAATATCACCTAAAAATTAATCATTACTCTAATTATTCAAGTACTCACCTGGATTAACGTAATGTGCACTGTTTCCCTCCGTTGATACACTAATCATTTGTGACATATTACACAATAGTGTGCCACAATTTTTGCAAACAATGACATCGATCTGCAACGAAAATGCTTATCGTCCAATAGGTCGATCATTTCTAACAGCATAGAACGTAATAGAATGCCAAATATGCTTTGCAACAATCCTTCAAAAGAAAGAGAAATCGACAGCTAATTGCTGAACGTTCGTTCCACTTAATTTCTCGGCTTAATTTATCACTTAGTAAATTTACTCCCTAATAACTCATTCAGGAAAAAGTTTATTAAATAGTATTGGGTTTACAGCACATATGCTACGGCACGTTCATTTTAATATGAAAAATTTTTTTCTCATTCTGCAGACTTTTTTTTTACTCTTCCTCCTCAATGTTCAATCCGTTTCTAGATAAACAGACTGATTCGAAAAGAAATAAAGAGATTCAATAAGCCTGAAAAAGAAGGAAAGTACCATCATCCTCTCATGAAGAAATTTTGTCTTTTTCATCCGAAAGTTAATATTTATCAATCATTCTCCATTCTTTGCTCTCAATTTTGTCAGTTGCTACAATATTTCTCACGAACCTATTCCAATCAGTCAAAGCGCATATATTCTAGTTTGTGCAGAAAACTTAATGCTACTTGCTTGTCATTTCAATTAATAATTAAAAACACTTGGAAAGGTGAAATGATTCACACGATTAATTATGCCATATTCATCCTTTAATCTTCTATCAGTGCACGGCTCATCCAGCAAGCGTAAGCGCATTTCCATATCAATTGGTAAATTTGCAGCTACCCAATAGCTCAATGCCGTCGGTCCCTAAATGAAGAATAATAGAAATCCTATTTGTTAAGAATTTGTTTCGAAATTCTTCATAAAAATTCTCTTCACGAAAATGGATATATCACCATTAGTGCGGACATATCATCAATAATGACAGTTTGTGAGAGAAAGTTCTCAGTATTTCTTCCAAAAGTTCTAATATCATCGAAGTTGAAAAAAAAGGAAAAAAAAAACGGTACTTGAGAAAGAACACGTTTAACTTTTTCATACACATGCCAACCATAAAGCCACTTGGCAATTTCATCAATATAATGCTTCTATAAATCAAATTTTCTCATTACTTTTTTTCCACGATTAGCAAACAACTGAAAACGTTGAAGAAATAAATTTGTAATTAAATAATTAGAAAATTGCATGAATTATTGCAAACCAAAAGTACAACTAATTGTATAATAAGTAAAAAATTACCGTCAATGATATCTTCAACGCGTAATATGAATGTGATGTCATTGCCGAAAAATACCGTAAACTCTAAAGAAATTTTTGCCTTCAGCAAGTGAAAATTCGTGCTTATGTCAACCATAATTATTTAATGTTAGCTAGAAGAATAGATCTTCATATCATTTTGTTCTCAAAGAATATTGAAAGCAGTGACGAAAATTCATGACTATCTTTCCGCCGCATTTATCAAACCTCATTAAAACTTTTACCTTCATTTTATCATTCTCAATTCACTGCTTTATAATGGCAATTTCGGTCAAGGACGAAAAAAAATTTTTGGTTGAAGAATAATAGCGGACTAAGAGAGATTTCTAATTTGAATTACTTGTCAATTTAAAATTAAACTGCTTTTTAAAAAGCCTAAGGTTGTCTCTCTATTTAGAAGTAAAAAATCATTTTACTTTTGTAGGTCGCATATGAGCAAACGAAGTGGGCACTAATACTTGAGAGAAAAGTGGTAACTCTCTTTCTTCCAAAACCAGTACCTCACCATACGGCATACTGAAATATTAAACATTTCCAAATCTGCTTAAATTTTCTAATGCTAAGAAATTAATTATTGGACAAATGTGACTGTAAACTACCCGTTAATGGCGGATCGTCGATTAAGTATTCGGCAACGTTGACGGCCTATTGCTTGCACAGAAATTCCACCATCATTTTCTTGTAAACTTCGAACCTGAACTAATAAATGCATTTGAAATTTAATTGTTATCAGCCTTTAATTTATTTATTTTAAAAGTTTTTTCAGATTAAAACCAAATTTCATTTTTTACTCAAAAATAATTAAGCGGAATAAATCAAATAATACAAATGAACTAATAAGCCTCACCCATATTTCTTTTTTAGCCAACACTTGTCTGCAATTTATCAGGAATCAATTGCATAAGACCTTTATAGTAAACTTATTTTAAATAGCTATGTATAGACCTGAATTAATGTTGCAATATCCGTATCAAAGTTATCCAATTTCGGTTTTAATGCTATATATTCATTTTCTTGAGCTGCATGTTGGAGCTGCGACACAAGTAATGGATAATCGGTATGGAATGGAAGCAACTGCATAGGTAGCAAAACGATTGGCATTTCCAAAATTGATACTGTTATCACTTTTCCAGCATCTTCTATTTTGAAACCATGCGGTAAATCATCATTTCCTGCATATTAGCGAATTAATACATTTATCTCAATAATAAAAACGTTAGCGGTACTATAATCAGTATCATTAGAATTTTCAACAAAGGTTTGCAAACAGTCTCTTCTTCCTAGAATCATCATCTGTCTGATCAAAATCAAAAAATCAATAATTTGTTGCGAGGAAAAGAAAAAAATGAAGTTTATTTAATTCATTTAATGACACAACATAAAAGAGTCAAATATTTGAATGATATGACTTACGTAACAGAAATATACAGACATCACATTATCTCGCACTTTATTCAATCATTACAAGAGCTATTTTCAATGATGTATTGTCAAAAGTGTTTAATCTTATTGCTGAAGTCATTTTTCCTGGATGTAAATACGAAATTTCTACAAATACGATTATATATCAATTTTCTAAAAGAAGTTAACGATTACTGAACATCTGAAAGTTAACGATTACTGAATTTCGTCAATCAATCGATGACTGAACTATTGCCCTTCAGTTTATCAGGTATCACTCGCTTAATGTTTCGATTACAAAACTTTCAAAAACATTAAAGACACAGAACTTGTTGTATTGATTTTATTTTCTTTTTTAACACTTTATCATATCCATAAGATGTATGATAAGACTATCACAATTTAAAACCTACTACCATTCAACTATATAATAAAATTCAAATGAAAAAGAATACCATTTAATCGTAAGTATTGATGAGTTGATGGTAATGTGATATCGAAAGGTCTCCGCTCTCTCTGATCATCTTCACTACTCTGTGTACTTTCCGATTCTGTATCATCTTCGTGAATGCTATTATCATCGTCAATATTTTGTAAGTCATTATTGTCCATCTAAAATTTAAATTTGTTTACTTCAACAAAAAAAAAAAAGATTCGAAATAAATCCAATGAAACAGTTCCTTGCTTAATCAAAGATAATAATCACTTCAAATGCCATATCGATAAATCTGAATGAATTTTAGAGAAATGATAAACATATACAATTTCCTATAAGCAATAGTTTATTTCATCAATTTTTTGATTTCATTAAAATTAAAAAAAAATTTCCACGTTAACAATTATCGTTATAATTTCACTAAAGACAACATTTCTACGGTAAAAAAAACTAACCAGAAATGAAATTATAAATTTGTTGAGAACAGTGTATTTCGTAAAGTATTGCATGCAACAGACATACTTCAGGCTTGGATGTGCAAGCATTTGTCCGGGTGTGGGATGCGCGGTATGAGTTTGGGTGGGGTGGTGTGGGTTTAGGTGGTTGGGTTTAGGTAGTTAGGTTAGGTAGTGTGGGTTCAGGTACTGTGGGTTTGGGTAGTGTGGGTTTAGGTAGTGTGGGTTTAGGTAGTGTGGGTTTAAGTAGTGTGGGTTTAGATAGGATAGTGGTAGTGGTAATTCTTGTGGACTTTTTTTGTATTAATTGTGGATTAGATAGACATTTATAAAGAATTTATAAATTCTGCAATTTTTATGAAATTTTTACATTTTTCATGTATAGTTCTATTTTTATTTTGAGGCTTCGTTCTAAGAAGCCAAAAATTAGGGGCAGGAGCTGATATTTCAGATAGGATGAAAGTTTTGATTTAAAATGAAATACATAGTTTTAGTGGAATGACGGGAATGTCACGAACGGGATGGCCTGTTGCTACGCGACCACAGAAAATTACTACTGCATCGGTTACGCAAAAGAAGGCAAATGATACGCGTAATAATATTGATCGAGCTATTAATTTGTAAGATTTTCCAAAGTGTAAAATTCCCAAAATATTTTGATTGGATCAGAAAAAGAATAATATATTTGAAAGGCATAGTTATTTCTATATTAACGACTATCATTTGTTGTAAAGGGAATGTAGTTTTTTTAGTGTGGATTTTTGAAACGCAAAAAATGATGAATGAGAGCGTTAGTGAACTAAACGGAGGAAACCGAAATTTTACATCTCTAATAATTATTAGTTACCGAATGTGGAAATGTTAACAGTCAGCTTATCATGTTATCTCTATAAAATCGTCATAATAAGTAATTAAGATATCCATTGACGAATTACACTTTTGGGACAAAGGATCCACAGGCTGAACGTGACCATTCAGTACAGGCACGATTTCAACGTATGCGTGAAGAATATGAAAAGATTGGGATGCGACGATCGGTGGAAGGTGTTTTACTCGTTCATGAACATTCCTTACCTCATGTACTGTTATTACAGATTGGTACTACGTTTTTCAAATTGTAAGTTTGTGCAAATATATGTTTTTATCCTTTAAGTTGAATTAGATTTTTTTTCAGTTCCAAGAAGAGTTTGAGTCTTATTGGCTGCCTGGATTGCTGAGAGAAGACAGTTTTATAAATGATCACATACATGGTTAACTTAACACCATATTTTCCCATTTTCTAGGCCGGGTGGTGAATTAAATCCTGGAGAAGATGAAGTTGAAGGGTTGAAGCGATTACTTACTGAAGTGAGTTTGTTACTTTTATCTTTTATATTTCTTTTTGAGGAATTCAGTAATACTAAGGACCGTCAAATGCGGCAATTTATCATCTCATACGCGAGTTATTCTAAGTTTATTTGCTTACATTCCGAGTTCGAGTCTTTTTTGTTTTGAAAACTCTTGATTTCCAGACACTTGGGCGGCAAGATGGTACGAAGGATTTGTGGACTATTGAAGACGTCATCGGTAATTGGTGGCGTCCGAATTTCGATCCACCTAGGGTACGGACTATGCATTCATTTTTAATATGGTTCTTTCTTGTATGCGTAATCTTTAATTGCTTTTTTCTTATACAATAGAAAAAAGAAATTTGTTCTTAAAAAAGCGGTAAATCATTTTCAGTATCCATACATTCCTGCACACGTTACAAAACCAAAGGAGCAGACGAAACTGTTCCTTGTCCAACTTCCGGAACGAGCACTTTTTGCTGTGCCGAAAAATTACAAGCTGGTAGCTGCGCCGCTATTTGAATTATATGATAACTCAACTGGTTACGGCAACTTGATTGCTAGCCTTCCGCAAGTTCTTAGCAGGTAAAAGCTCCTGGTTACTAAACTGATTAATCGTAACCTTTCAGCAGTTCTTTTCCATCCTCTCTCATTGTCTCAAATATTGTTGGAATTTTGTACTTCGAATCTGTGCATCATTTACATTATTCATCTCTTCTGACGTAAAGTTTTGCTTAAGATGTGCTTGTGACAAATCTTTGCTTTTATTAGAATCATTCTTTATTGAAAACAATATCTCAATCGAAATATTTAATTCAGTGCTAATATTGATTTAATAGATGAATTATTTCTGTTTAATTTAAGTGCTATTTTTTTACATTTCAGATTCAATTTTCTATATACGCCATGAAACTGGGTTTTATGGTGCATGACAATACGAAAAGAAGTCAGCGAAATATGGAAAGGACCGGATGAATTTTTTTTCCTTCTCAATATCTATGTTATTTTTACTCTCATTTTTTGTTTAAACAGTTTGTTGTATGATGTTTAGTTTTGTTGATATCATCGAATTTAATTTTGTCTTTTTTCTGAGATCTCTGCAGGGCTTGTTTGTTGTTCATTTCGGAAAAAAACTATGTAAAGGTGGCCTTTCACATACCCAACTAATTATCTTTAAATTTGAAAGATTTTTTCGTATGTATACTTTATTGTGGTAAATGATATATGCTTACAGCTGCGTTATTTATACGCGTACTGATAATTAAACCGATTTTTTATGTAAAACTTTTGAATTATTAATAAAATAGTTCATTTCTTATAGCATAATGAAGGTTCGATTATTAGTAAAGTGGTGAAATGTATAGCAGATTAAACTTTAAATGAGTAAAAAAGATATGCGTAATTGAACTTTAGATTTCTTCTTCCTTGAATAAGTTTAGAAATGTAGGAAGTGAAGGTGATGTTAGATTTGCATCAGTTTTGAAAAACAGTGTATCGTGGGAAGCGATTGCGGGGTAGAATACGGCATATTTGTTGGACAAAAGTTTTATTTGATGGTTGTTTTCCTATTATGCTCAACACGATATCATTCCCTGCTAGGAAATGCAATTACGAAGTTAAGAATTAAAAGTTGTTGCATGTATTGCAAAATCAATATTCTGTTTTATGTTCATCGTATGGCAAATAAAATTTTCTGAAATTTCTATTTACTCTATTATTACAGGGACTTCCTGAAATTTATTTTCAGAAAGTGAGCGCTAAGATGAGACTGTGAAATTATCATTATTTTCAATTCCACCTCTTGTGGTACTCTCATTTCAATGTAATTGTGTGTATTTTTAATATTCTGCGAGTTTCATTCTGTAAAGTGTGATAACTTGAAATATTAATAAGCTGCAATAACCGTAACATATTTGCATTTTTTTTTAAATTTAAGATGTGTTTATTTTATTCTTCGATTCGGAACGTGAACATATGTATGCTGTTGTTGTCGTTATAATCAATAATGGACTGTGACGTTGCTTCATATCATGTGGATTCGTTCGATTACTTGGCGGAGCAAGGTGTAAATTTGGCTGCTTTAGATGTACCAGCCGAAAAATTCCGACTTCCAGCTGGGGAAGCGGTGGAATTACGTTATACCGGCGCTCAGCTTGGTTATCCAATGATTGAAGTGAAACAGGTACATCTTAATTTTGCAATTCATGGCTGTTGCAATTATGGTATTTAATTCTTTACATGAATTCTTTCTGTTTTTACTACTCGATCAATAGCTTACAATATATTTTAAAGATATATTCAGGTGTGTTATATTAATGTAAGAGGAATTGGTATATTGCTTAGAAATCATTCTAAATTGTCGTTGAATTTATTTTTTAATCAAAAAACTAGAATTCCACCCAATGTTTTGAACCATAAATTTATGTGCTCCTTAATGATATGTTGCTTTTAATTAGCAGATGCATTAAAGAAGATGATTTGAACTATAAAATTGAAAAAGGATGATTTGAACTAAAGAAAATAAGGGAAAAAAATCTTGACCAGTTGTCACAATTAGTGAGAGACAATAAAATATTTCATGATTTTTTTCTTGCAGGGTTCTTCTGTGGTTGATTCGCTAAAACTATTTCCTTCAGAATGCAGGCAGCGTGGTTTAACTTACAGAGGGCCATTAAAAGTGGGGGTAGAAATACGGTTGAATGGCAGTAGGATAGATTGTTGTGAAGTTGTTGTTGGTGAGGTTAGTTGGAACATTTTTTTTTTTTTTGCAACTTTGTCGCGTACTCAAGCTTATTTTAGCACAATTCATGTTTTTAGTGACGTTCTACTCATTAGTTTTAGGTTTGAAAAGCATAATTTATTTCAGTATTCTCTTATCATTGTGAATAGCAAAATTATAAACTGGAACATATCGAAATGGGAAATAAACTTACCACTTAAGAAATTCCATTATTCTTTTAAGTTGTCTAGTACCTATTATTATATTAAATCACGTTTCTAACATGTGATTTCTTTCTATTGATAAATAATTAAAATATTTGGCGATAATGCTTTCATTTCTATCTATTAAATATATTTCCGGTTCCTATAATGTTGAAATCAAATAGATGCCATTTGCGTTGGTTAACAAGAGAACAGCTAATAGCGCATGGTGAAGAAGGAACTGAAAAAGGCGGTTATTTTATTTGTAAAGGGAATGAAAAGGTGTAACATTTTCTTTTAAATATTATATTAGTTTTTATGAATTTCCATTAAAAATTGTAGCAACTATTTTACTTTGATGTTTTATTATGATACTGAAATGTTGATTCCAACTCTCGAAATAACAGCCTAGAAGATAACAAGTTGTCAGCAGGAAAGCACATAAAAATAAAGAGAAACTAATTATTTCGATCCATTAATCAAGAAATTATTTTTCTGCTATTACAGAATGATTAAGTTCCCGAATATCAAATAAAAATTTTTCTGTACCAAAGAATAAGACGTTTTTAATAGTTTAGAATTTGCGAATTATTTTTCTTTTAATCGAATTCTTCAAACAAATAGGTGATACGTCTTTTGGTTGCAAATCGTCGCAATTATCCAATCGGGATAGTAAGGCGTTCCTTTCGTGAAAAAGGATCTCTGTTTACACAATATGGGATGATGATTCGATGCGTTCGGGGAAATTACTCAGCCGCTAGGATGACGCTTCATTATCTCGAAAGTGGCACCATTGTTATTGCTTTACAGGTAATTGTCAACTTTTAATTACTGGATTTAATGAATTTCTTTTATCAACTTTTAACCCGTGTATCTTTTCATATTTCAAGTTGCGCTGTGGATTTTGATCATTAATTTAGAGGATTGCTAAAGATTTTCATCAAAATGTTGAAATATTCTTAAAATTTATCTTTAGTATACTTAGTTCAATATATGGGTTTAGTTTAACTAAATGAATTTATTTTGCTGTACTCAGTGGAACAATTTTAAACTACTTTTTCTTTTTTTTTTTAATTTAAAATATCAATGTTTCAGTACCGGCGTGAATTATTTTATTTGCCATTTATGTATATCATCAAATCATTAACATCGATGAATGATCAATGCATTATGGAGCATATGACCAGATGTCGACCCGATGATCACTTTTGGAAGGGTAAAATGCATTCATTGGATTGATTACTTTTATCACCATATTGCACACTAATAATGCAAATTTCTATTTTTTTTAATTTTGATATAGCTTATTTACTGTACTCGTAAATGTGGAACTGGAATAGTTTTTAGGATGCGTAACCGCGATGTTGGCACTATGTAACGATGATGGCATAGTGAATCAAAAAGCGGCACTTACTGCTATTGGTGGAAGATTCCGAGTAGCTACTCAAGATCGTGTTGGTCCATGGGAAATTTCTGAAGTAATTATTTCAGTAGTATTTTATAGTTTTTCCTTCATAGTAGCTCTGAATGTAATTTAAGATTGTTAGATTGTAATTTTTGAATGAAGAAAAATCAAATTGGAAGTATATTTCAGGATGTTGGCCGTTTCTTACTCCGCGTTTGTGTTGCAGTACATTTGGACAACGATGAAGATAAATTTTTTCTTCTTACTTATATGGCTCAGAAATTGATAGCGTTGACGAAAGGTGAATGTTCTGCTGAATCACCGGATAATCCACAGTTTCAAGAAGCTGCTGTATCGGGTCATATACTTCTTTTGATTATACGAGAACGTTTGGAAAATATTTTGAATATTGCACGACGGAAAATTGAATTTGAAGCAAAGCGCAAGGCAGAAAGTTTCCTTTTATCGAGGTCTACGTTTTTCTGAAAATTAGGCTCTGAAATTCTTCTTTAGTAACCTATTTAAGATTACTGTTCGTAGAGTATCTTGCTTATATGTTTTAGTCATGAATTGATTCGTGCAATGGGTACGCAACGTTCGGGAGAAATAACGCGAGGTTTGGAGTATTTTTTGGCTACTGGGAATTTAATTTCCAAAGGAGGCCTGACATTCAATCAAAATACTGGATTTTCAGTGGTTGCTGAAAGAATTAATCAACTTCGATTTGTTTCCCATTTTCGGTGTGATTTTTCTTTCAGTCAGATTGTTGATCCGAAGTTCGGATTATAATTCCCGTTTTGTTGTTCTTATTGACAACGAGATGTCAAGATGTAGTCATAAACTTCTGCACAGAAAATTATCATGTAGTATGAAGTTGTATTTAATTTGTTTTTTGTATTTTTTACATATTATTTTTAAAAATCAAAAAAATATTTTTTTTTATGTTTAGGTATCTGCGATCATGAAAGTTTTACCAAGATATTTTTCCCGAATCTACTACCTCTTTCATTTAGGGCAATCCATCGAGGCGCTTTTTTTATGGAAATGCGTACTACAGATGTACGTAAATTGCGTCCCGAAACTTGGGGCTTCATATGTCCAGTACATACTCCGGACGGTGCTCCATGTGGTCTATTAAATCATGTCACGGCAAGCGTACGCATTGTCACGCATTATTCGAACATCAGTGAACTGACAAAATTGCTCGGAGAATGGGGGATGCTTGGTCATTCCTCCATTATATTACTACCCGCAGAGCCTGTACGTATTTATTTTTTATTCTATACCAAATGTATTTTCAATCTTCAAAATTTGATCAGCAGTAGAAGAATGAAAATAGAGGAATAATCTAAAATGTGTATTCACGGAACTTTATGTTGATCGTTATGACGTTCCTTTTTAAGTCAAATAGCAGTATGGGCATGAAGTTATTTGTTGTATTCACATTAGAGTTTCTTCAAATTTTATATTATCTCTTACAATTTTCCTGGATATCATTTTCTTTTATTTTTCCAGGTGTATCCCGTTTTGATTGATGGAAAATTTGTTGGCTACATTTTGCAATCGCAAGCGTCGTATGTTGAACGAAAATTACGTTTTTTGAAAATATCAGATGATATTCGCGTACCTTCTTGCGCTGAAATAATTCTAGTAGAAAAGTCCATTGATCCGATTAACATTTTAGTGCAATATCCCGGTCTCTACATTTTTACCGAACCGGCTCGTCTTATACGACCAGTCAAACACCTTCCAACAAATCGAGTTGAATTCATAGGTAAAATTTTTTGAAGTCTTTCTAAACTATTTTATTTTATTGTTTCAAGATTTTGTTCAAAAATTTTAGTGTATCCTATGAATAATTTTGTGTTTTATGAATTTCCGGTTACAATCAATAGTTAATCATTTTAATTAGAAGGTAAAAGATGGAATAGCATGTCTATGATTAAATCACATCCGTCTAAAGGGTATTTAAGAAGTTGAAAGAATTGAAGAAATATATCCCTGACCTTAAATATGCTTGTTGGTTTCTTTTAAAATCCTTAGATTTTTTGGTTAACCTTTCAGGAACATTCGAACAAGTGTACTTATCAATTTGTATTGATCCGGTGGAGGCAGAGCCCAATATAACAATGCATCAGGAAATTCATCCTAGCTGCTTGTTTAGTTTTGCTGCTAACCTAATACCATTTCCTGATCATAATCAATCGCCAAGAAACGTTTACCAATGTCAAATGGGTAAACAAACGATGGGAGTACCTGTTCATGCATGGAACTATCGAGCTGACAATAAAATGTATCATCTTCAGGTAATGTTTTTATGGATATAAAATAGTTTGAAGAAGAGCTGCATGGCATGCATAATGGAAGGAAATGAAATTATGCATCTGTTGGACAAATTTGAGTACTTAATATTACAGTAAAAAACAATGAATAAGAAAAAAAATGATTAGCATTTCTAGAAAAAACATGAACTTTTAAGCAGTTACATTTTAAATTAATGATGTAGTCATATTTATGGAAAAATTTGACTCGTGTAGTGTCGTATTACGGGGAGAAAATTTTCCAAATTCTAGTTCAAATTTTTTAAAAAAGTTTTCCTTTTTTTTTAGTTTCCTCAAAATCCTATCGTAAAACCAGAACCTTATGAAAAATATGGTATTGATGAGTATCCAATGGGAACAAACGCATGCGTTGCAGTCATATCATACACAGGTAATTTGCAATTTAAATTAGTAAGTATTTAGGAGTGAAGTATACAGTTATTATTCAGTCATCTGCATTTACTTTTCAGGCTATGATATGGAAGACGCTATGGTTATTAATAAAAGTTCCTATGAACGTGGTTTTGCTCATGGTAGCGTTATAAAAGTAGAAAGGTACTTTGGTCTTCTATGATTTTAATAACAATTTTAGAAATAGTGATACTAAGTAAAAGTTGGATCTATCGCTGCTATATTCTTAAACAAGTATTGTAAGAGTAAGATGGTAGTATGTCTGATTGTTGCGCCAGTAAAAATAGCAATCATTTTCAGTCTAAATTTGCAGGCAATCTTTTGTGTGCTTTTTTTCATATCTTGAATGATTTATATTTGTAATGGTCTACAGTTTTATAGCATGCAAATTTATCATTAGTAACTTATGATCGTAACCTATAACACGTTAGAGTGAACCTAATCGAAGGACGGTCCGCGGAGAGCCTAATATTTTTGTGTGATCCTCAAAATCCACAGAAGACGATAGGTCTTGATGGTTTACCGATTCCTGGACGTTTGTATATGGAAGGTGATCCTTGTTATTCGGTGTACGATATTGATACAAACAATTATAAAATCTATAAATACAAATACACGGAGGCGGCATTCTGTGGTTCAGTAAGAATTGTCGAACAAGGCGACAGTGTTAGTACTACCAAAGGCAAATGTGTAAGATTTGAATTCAATAATATTTTTTACTAAATCACTATGAAATTAAATTGGTGAATACATTTAATGGAATGGCACAGGATAGCTATTGCAAAGTTCTCCCGAAAAATCTATTGCAGGAGGCTTTCGCAAATATTAATTTAATTTGTGACTTAGTTTATTCATCTTGAAAACTCCGTACATTAATATTCGTAATTTTAGCATGCATTAATTCAGTGGCGTATACAGCGTAATCCGATAATTGGTGACAAATTTGCATCGAGGCATGGTCAGAAAGGTATTAATTCTTTTTTATGGCCTAGCGAATCGATGCCATTTTCGGAGTCTGGAATGGTTCCTGATATTATTTTTAATCCGCATGGTTTTCCATCTCGAATGACAATCGGCATGTTTTTTCTTTATTCAACTTAATTATTTTTTTGCTCTGTAATTTGATTTAAATACTTTGAGATTGCTGAGTGTTTTATATTTCATTTACAGCAAACTAAGTTTTGTGTGATTTTCCTCTTCGTTTCAATAGTTCAATAAAGTGTGGATGGATGCGCTGCAGCAAATTTCGTTTTCATTTCTTAGATTTCTAAAATTATCTTTCAGGAATGATGATTGAAAGTATGGCTGGTAAAGCAGCAGCTACGCATGGTTCTACATATGACTCTTCACCATTCGTTTTCAAGTATGTTTTCTTTAATTTGCAGATTTTATTATAATAATTACATTTTTTTGACTTTTTTTCATTGAAATAATTACTATTTTATTTTTATAAGCTAATGCCTGATTTAAAGAAAGAATGATACACAGTCATGGTTATAAGTGATGAATCAAACAAATAAGGAGAAAGGCATTACTTGCTGATATTGTTGACAAAGAATATTTGTTTAAGTGAGAAGAAAACGGCCATTGATCATTTTGGACAGCTTCTTGTTCGTGCTGGATACAATTATTATGGCAATGAAGCAATGTATTCTGGTGTCGATGGTCGGGAATTAGAAGTAAATTGATAACAATTTTTTTTTGACACATAATAATTAAAATTTGCAACTTTATTGTAATTTTTATTTCCTTAAAACTTAAAGAACTTATTTCCATATTTTTGAAATGGTTACAAATTTATTTCAAGTTTTATTGTAAATTTCGTTCCTCACGATTCCTTTTCACCGAAAACTCCGCTATTCTATAATTGAAACATGGTGTTTAATTTTGTTCTGGATTTCTTTTCTTTTCTTGGAGCTATTATTATGTATGGCATTGCTGTCCATAGGCTATATATTTGTCATCTATACGGTTTGGAGTTTGTTATTGGTTGATTATGTATTCTTAGGTTTACTGCATCTGTTAGAAAGGCGATATATTTTATGAGAATTTTTCAGGGGTTTTGAAGTTGAGCAAAATGATTCCTTGCTTTATACTTTTAATTAATTTAAAAATGCAAAAGTGAAAGGTTTCTAGGTACAAATTTTCTTTGGAGTTGTATATTATCAGCGTCTCAGGCATATGATTGCTGATAAATTCCAAGTACGATCAACTGGCCCAACAGATCCGGTGACGTTACAGCCAGTGAAAGGTCGTAAAAAAGGTGGTGGAATTCGATTTGGTGAAATGGAACGTGATGCAATGATTGCCCACGGAGCTGCATTTACTTTACAGGTAACTAAACATTTAAATTTTGTGAAAGAAATTGAGTCTTCGTTTAAAATCCACTGAAAAAATTAACCTTTCATTTTTTTCTGCAGTTTCAAACTTTGAGTAATACATTGCAGGATCGTCTCTTTAATTGTTCCGACAGAGATATCGCGCAAGTTTGTGCGCGTTGTGGTTCAATGATATCAACACTTCGTTGTGCAAAGATATTGTCGGAACGTCGAAATAGTGAAGTAAGTTTTCATCAAAATAATCGCTATCATCACTCATGAGAAGTATTATTTAATGGTGATGCCGAAGGATATCATAATCAGATGACATAGGAATATTAACTGAAGAAACATTGTAAGCAGTTTATTAGCTATATTGATTTAATATGAATAGTATATTATACTTTTGATAATCGACCCACCACTAAGTCAAAATGGATTTTTCATCTGATATCTGAAGCAGAAATTGATGACATATGTTGGAATTGGATCAACTATCAGGAAATATGTTGTTAATTACTGCACTGTTTTTTTCTTTGGAATTTGGACTCTCCACTTGATCTTCATTTGATCTTTCGTTGTACCAGATACCAGCGAAAATTCTGAACAATTTGAAATCATAAATTCTTCAAGAATCATTTCATTGGATTAGTGTATCACCGTAGCTCTCAGTAGTTTCTACCGCTTGATGCAATCGATCACCAATCAACCATCATCATCCTCTTTAATCCGATTTCCGTTTATACGTGATCATTTTTGGAAGAAAATTTTCAGAATTCAATTGTAAACCACAGTGAACGTGAAGTGTGTTTGTTATGTGGTAAGGATGATCAGGTTTACCCGGTTGAAGTGCCTCGAGTATTTCGGTATTTGATTGCTGAACTTGCAGCAATGAATGTTCGTCTACAAATTTCAGTGAAACATCCAGCGAATTTATCCCTCTGACTTAATTCATTCCTTTTGTCTCTCTTTGCTCATTTCATGAACGGGTGTGCTGTTACGCATTACTGAATGCTTTATTTGGAAAATTGGAACGACTTTAGTTGATTATCTCAAACTTAGCATAATCCACTTTATTTGGAACGTAACATCTAAGAAAGTTTTTTCTTAGCTTTTTCTATTTCCATCGGACAAAAATATACCTTCATGTCTATGTCAACGTTGTATGTATCAATCTTTGGACAAAAATGTATCTTATATCTTTCGATCATAATAGAAGCGGAAATGGGAATTTAGATAAATGATTGGATATTTATAAGGTCCCCGATTGCTTGAGACGACAACAGGGAGCATGATGAAATAATTATTTCATTGTTATACTTCTCTTTAAGATACGACTATCATTCTTGTTACTAAAAATCTATTGCAATAATTTGATTTATAAAATTTCATTCAAATTACATTCACAAATTCAATAATAAGACTTTGATATTGCCAAGATCAGTCTTATAATCACTAATGTCACTTAACAGTAAGATTTGAACTATTCAATAATGTTGAACGGAGATCTTATTATCAAATAACAAATCTTAGCAATAAAAAAGTCATATTGACGGAAAAAAGAACTGTTAAAATTGTTATAATTATATTGCATAAAATGCTATACACTATTTCTTTTACAAGTCAAAAAATCTTCCTTCTTGCGTACGGCAAGCGAATTTTATGAGAGAAATCATCATTATGACTTCAAAAGGTTGTTAAGAAGTCACATTAAATGATTTAGTAAGTAAATGCTGGAACTGCTAATTTTCAAATGAAGCCGAATTTTATTTCGATTCAAAATGCAAGTTCGGATAATGCAATTATTCAATGGGAGAGCTTACACATTAACGCAACTTAAACATGCAAAATCCGGAAAGAAATATTTGCTCATGAATTGATCTCACATATTCTAACGTTTTTCCACACCATATATTCTTAAAAAAATGCATCATTTGCAATCTGTCTCACAGTTCAAACTAAATACCTTCAATCACAATACCGTTCTAAAAACAGTAAATGTTGGATTTCCATTTCATTTCTCTCTTTAACTTTTGATGGAGCCATTACGGAACTAACGCTGTAGACAGTCGTTCATGAAGTATCGCAATTTTTTGAGTGAACTGTCATCATCATTGCTTTATGCCGGTTTGATCTTTTCATAGTGAAATCTTTGTGGAAGCAGTTCATTTGTTGCTTCATCTAACATTCTCCGTCTAATTTCATTGAACTGTTTTTGAGCGAAATCATAAAATTCACGTTCCATAATGTATATTGGTTCCTTGCGAATTGCTTCAACTGTTGCTTTGTTAGGTGATATTTTATGATTTGTATGGCGCAAATGTGCATGCTTTTCTGAAAATATAATTTCATATCTACTTAAATGTTAAAAAAGTAAAGGTAATACTTTAAAATTAGTAACTGTATAAGATGTTAACATATCAATCTTAAACATAGTTATTCATTAAGGTAATTCTTGTTAATTTGCATTTCTATAATCTGATTTTGCAATTCCTCACAACACGACCGAATATATCCTTCCACTTCCATAAAAAATACACAAAGTATAACCATCAAGCGAATCGAAATTCTTCAATGCACCACGAAAGAATGATGGTAACAATAACTCGAGTAGCTCAATGAAATCTCGCATTTGATCACTCAAACCAACCAACAGATAATAGTTGATGAGATTGAATTTGGCTTCTTCTAATGCACGGTTATTTCCCACTTCACTAAAAAAATATGCTTAAGGATAGTAATAATATGAATTTTGATCTAGAGTAAAATAAAAAAAATCCTATATGGAGTTGTTGAGGAACGATATGAATTTTTGCAAAAAAAGAATAAGGAATAGATTTTATTAATTATATTTAATTAAAACAGGAAACAGATTATATTAACTAATTGTATTAATTAAGACTCTATTGCTTGTATTGATTAGATTATATTAATAAAGTAGGCAAGTGATTTCAAAAAACAAAACCAAATATTACAATAAAATTGGAAACTCAAAAAAATTTCATCAAAACGAAAAGTAAAAATTGAAGAAAAAACCATTTACACGCGATATCTTACCTACAAAAATGATGTGTACCACAAAAATATGGGATTTGTAGCCACATTTGCTTCATATCACAGTCGCGTCCTTTTCGAGCAATGCATTGATCAAATGTCTAAAAGTCTCCAAATAACCTCATTTCAAAACGCCCATGGTTTAGCTAACATTTAAAGGAATAAGATAACTGTTGTTATTTCTCCTTCTGGAAAGTAGAAAGTAACTAAACGCGACTGAACTGAATGATGCGATAATTTTAGTCACTATAAAAATTCAACTTTGTTCAGATCACTACAAAGGCATCTGTTCAGTATTAAAAGTATATTTCGTGAAACGGAAATAATTATCAAATGGCTGCAGACCTACAAAAAAAATAAGTGAAAGAATGTTTACCGATGCTAATCATTTGACTATTTTATTTCATTCTTCCCATTAGGCTAATGAAGAATACAGAAATTAGATGGAATTAAAGTTATGAACATAAAAATGACAAAGAAATCAATCAGCTTCACCTCATTATTCCCTGCTCGGCTTCTCTTTAAACCGATACGATAATTATCACCATAACGAAGGAAATAATAATAAGATATCAATCGATCGAGAGGTTCTCGTATTAAATTTATATACACTGGGTTTGGAAGACCGAACCTGAAATACGTTTTTTGATTTATGCATGTTTCAAACAACATAATCTGATCAGGTCGAACTAATCAGAATTAGAAATTTTTAAACAAAATCTACAAATGGTTCAATAAAACTATTTCGATTTCAAAAAAGCTGAATGCTATGCGATCACATACTAAGTGATAACATACTGATAATACTACAATCGTTATTAAGAATCGGTAAGCCTTCTCAAATCATTCAGCAGCAAAAGCCAAAGACAAATATAACTGATCCATAGCTTCTCTATAATCAGCGAAAGATAAGCAGAAACAAACAACATTAAAAAAAATGTTTTTTTTTTAACTAAACCTTCTAGTAATTAAAATTAATGAACTTTAACTAAACCTTCTAGTAATTAAAATTACCGATTAAAATTAATGAAGGCAACATGACCATGATAAATAGCGGGTATTCGCTCCCTCCAATTAGTGATATTATCGATAAATCGTCGTTGATCGATGATATTCATTAGGTAACGATTTCTAGTTAAATTCAAGTGAATCACACTAAAGCCATTGCGATGACATAAACTGTACATGGCAGCATTGGTGAGCGTTGTTGAACCCGTTTTCGGGATCTACAAAAATATATTTATTTATATATTATTTGCCATTCTTGGCTTAAATAATTAACCATCTCTACATTACTGATTTAAATAATTGATTTGCTTTTTCAATTAACCAAATTTCACATATGGAATTTATCCGTAATCATTTTCTTGCTACCAACATTTATATTTTCCTTATTTCGATAGTTTAAATTGAATTTATTTTAGCATATAAATTTCAACATTGGAAGTTCATGATTGATTTAATTTTTTTTCAATGTTTTAATGAACTTTACCCGATTATAAATCACAATTGATGATGTATATAATAATTTTTCATTTTTTCTGTCTTGTTCATCATCTTTTCGTTGTTGTTTAAGATTTGTTAGACATAAATGCCTTAAGCGTAAATTAATATAAATAAAGGCACATGATATCAATACCAAATTGATAACTATCCATTGAAATTTCGTTATCATCAACGGATCAAAACCTACAAAATCAAATAGATAATTGAACTTTAATGAATAACTTGTATTTTTTTAAAAGTATGATAGAAGAACTGTTTAGGATTAATGTGATAATCTGATAAGCCTAATAATATGACAGCATTCTATTCAGTAATATTATGATAAGTATACTTCATACTACTGTTCGACTAATGTGATAATATTAATGGCTTATCACATTAGAATGGGTTATCACATCACGAAACTAACATTTCAAGAATGGAAAATACCGAAAATTATAGCAACAAGTAATTACTTAATTATCGTTAAAGTTTTTTAGGGTGACCGTAATATACAAAAAGTTAAAAATTATTTGCGTTAAATAATAAATTTTATTTCCTTATCTTATCAATGGCAATAAATTGACTTACATATGTTAATTTATTTACACTGGAAATTTCCATTTTAATAACGAAGTTTTTCATTTTAGTGTTACGCTCATGTCAAAAACTTTAACGACAATTAATTAATTACTTGCAGTATGCATTCCACATAAAACAATTAAAAATCTCCTAAGTGAGTAGGAAATTATGCTATTAGGAAATTTCTAGTTGAGCTATCAAATGAAAAGATATCATTGAGAAAAGAAATAAAAATGAAAATGAAATTTGATACAAACATATCACATACCAAAAACTATCCCTCTACTAAGCTGCTCCAAAAGATAACTTCTACAAAATCACTTCATCAAATCCGTAAATCCGAACGGAAAACCGGAAAGACAAAAAGGAAATATAGCTCGACCCCAAAAAGGCAAAAAGAGAGCATAATTTGTCCGGAAAGCAGAACACCGAAATATGAAACAATTATGAAAAAGAGATCGCTCCCATTGCTTAATTCGTTTTTCGGTGATTAAAATTACAAAATTTTCAAATTTAAATATTTAATTATCAGCATTAGTCGATAAGGATTCTTTTATTATTTCTGGATAAAATGGATCAATTTATCTGTATTTAGATATTTTAATAATTGAAAGCTTCTCAATGCTAATCTATCACGGAAATTTAATATCGGTAAAAGCTTGAAATTCAGTACTAATTCAATTGAATTCACCTTATTATTCAATTTAATTCATCAAAGTTGATTCGAATGAAGAATTTATTCAGTTATTAAATAGCCATTAATTTGAGTTTACTAATTACAGTGCCAAAACTTTTTTCTCCTAATTTTTCAACTTTCCACAAAAAAAAAATTGAATTGACAGCTACGAAAAAAAAAAAAGTTCTATTAAGCATTTTTATTAGATTCAAATTGCCCTTCTCCAAAATTTATTTCAATTTCAATGTCCATTGAAATCAATTTTAAAATTACCCTCATTATTATCCGATTTTTATCACAATTGTAAATTTTTTTAAAGCATTATAATATTTTTAATTTAGTTCAACATCTTATTATTTTAAGGCATAATTTTTTAATTTTAGCTTAACTTCCAATCCTAAAATATTTTCCAGTTGATAATTAATACTAAGAATTGAAATACTAAAAAATATTATTTTGAAATATTACTTAAGGATTAGAAGTTAAGCTAAAATTGAAAAATATTTTCCAATTAATAATTAATGCTAAGAATACTGCTCCATGTTTTTTTTTTTCACTACCTTATATGATTGATAATTCAATGAAAAGTATGCATTATTGTTTTCAACTTATTATACTTGTAATTTAGATTGTTATTTGTGTTTTATTTTTTAGGATGTCAAATTAATCAATCATTAAGTCTATTTGTTTGACATGAAATATCGAAAATGTCGTTGCATTATAAGAAGTTATATTGATAAATTCCCAGAAATTTCAAACAAATCAAATTTTCGGCATATTGTATTAACAGTAAGTTAAATTAGGAAATAGGTCAAATCGATTCATTTAATAGTTCATATTATTTCAACAAAGTTGGCTGCATATGACGTCATCCACACTTACACGTACAATTTCGTAATCACTACAAAATAGTGCTGCATTAAAAATCCATCAGTATTAATTAATTGGTGATAAACGCTAGAATTTCTTCATTTTTATAACATTAAAATTTCAAGTTACATAATTTTTTACATGCAATTTGTGAATGTCTGAAAACTATAAATTAGCAAATTATAATTTACTCACTTGATGATGTAAAATAAAACTATTGGAATATTTAGTGGAAATTTAATTTATCTAAAACTATATATCTAATTTGATTTTGTTAAAAAATTTTTTTGACCTTGTTCATACATAGAACGGTGTAATCTTAACGAAATGAATATTTTCTTATTAATTATGTCATGATTATTCGTCGGCTATAATAAATTCATTTATACTGTACAAAATTACTTGTTTAAAAAGAAGGCAGAAAAAAAAACGAAAAAAATTGAAAGAGAAAAGAAGAAAAATAAAACTATTTGGTTTAAATATTGGCTTTTTTTAATTAATATCAAATGTATTTCTATTTAAATCATTTGATTTCCAATCACACTATTAAGAGTTATCAATTAATTAGCGAATTAACGATTCTTTTAGAAAAAAATCTAAGAAGAAATTAACGTGAGATATAACGTTAAAAAGAAATTAAGATTTTTAAATAAATTTGATGATTTAAAATATGTTAAATACACTGCAATGCTAAAAAGAAATGATTTTACGTAAAATATTACGTAAAGAAATTAATTTGAAAATTGTTACAAAAACAATTTATATTCAAGAAAAAATGACCTATTAAGCATAATACAAAAATAATTATTGAAATATTAAATGAATAAATTTAACTTTTGACCTAATCGCAGAATTATTATTCTCAGTCCGTCATCAATTAATGCTGCAACAATTAAATAATGCTAATATGAGAGTTTAAATTATTTGAAGATGAAATTCATTCAATAAAATAGTAAAATAATTAGCGAAATAATTCCTGAGATAAAATTAGTTTTTACATGCATCAATTGCTAAAATAAGTAATATCTGAAGAGAAAAACAAAATAACGGAATGATTATTTTACAGATTAAAATTTAATTAACGAAAAATATATTCTTACCATTAAAATGGATTTCATTGCAATTGCAGCCTTTCCGCTTTCAAATCATTCAATTCATTCTTTATTTTATTCGATTTTTTTCTTTGTAAAAAATTTCATTTAATTCTTGAAATTTTAACATTTCCAGATAAAAAATTCCATTTAACATATTTATTAAAATCAATGCTACAATTGAAGTTGTAAAAAATTCATTCCTCACTCACAGCAATTTTGTGTTCCCTTTAAATTTCATTTATTCATTTATTCATTTATTTATTATTCTGCATTTTGATTTTATTTTTTAACATCTTTAATAAAAAATTAACTAATTTGTTACAAATTAGTTTTTTTGCTAAATTAATTGGTAGATTTATTAGAACTTTTTTAACACATTTATTAACTTTTCTTTGCAATAATTTCGGCAAAAATTTTTCACAACTTCAACTGTAATATTGTTTTTATTCTATGCAACAAATAATAAAATTTTTCATCTGGTAATGTTGAAATTCAAGAATTAAATAAAATTTTTTTTTATAGTGATAAAATTTTTTGATATGGATGAATAGAATTACTTGAGATTTTTCTCTTTCGCGAATGAAATGCGACTTTTTAAATGTAAAATATTGTTTGCTATCAGTTTGTGCATACTGTCAAAAATAAAAATTTAAATCACTTTCAATTTTTAATTCTTTCTGTTTTTATTTCTTTTTATGCTTCTTTTTGTTAATTTAATTAACTGCATTTTCGATTATTTATTTTATTTTTTACTTTTTTTTTCCTTCTGAATTTTTCAGCTTGTTAATTTGATTTTTTTCTCTTTGTTTTTGTTCAAAAATATTATTCAATAAGTAAAGCTAAATTTGTGTTAGTAAATTAAAACAAAATTCTTAATGAACAAAATGATAAGGTGGAAACATTTATTTTGAATGGATGATATAATGGAGCACTTGAAACCGGTTTGATAAATTCATTTACTTGTGTTTAAAGGCATTAACAAACAAACAATATTACCATTTAATATCTAAAGATATTTATTCGTTAATCAATTAAATATTGTTTTGTTATAAAATTTGTTAAATTATTGCTCAACAACAATTAGTCTTACTTAATAATAATTTTTTCCTTTTTTATTTATTTCAAAAAAGTTTGTTGAATCTTAATTTACTATTTTTCCACTTTTTCTATTTGAAAGTTAACTTATTTTATTTAAATAGTAATGACTAAATGAATGAATGGATTACTTAGAAATTTATTAGGTAATAGTTTTTTTTGCCTTTTAAGTCATGGAAAAGATATGATATTAAAAGTTCATCAGTTTTTTACGTTATGTGGCTGTAAGACGGTGAAAACGAAAGCAAAACAACTTATTATAGTGAAAATTATTATAAAATATGAAATGAAAAACTTAAATTAATTATTTTGGATTAATTTATTTTTCTAATATTCTTTTTCTTTCGTTATTTCGTCAGCAAATCTCAACAAATACAAAACTGTTTCATTCTCGAAATTGCTAAAGTTTAAAATCTATTCATTTTCCACAAAGCCCAAACAAAATACAAAATTGTTCATTCTCGAAATTGTTGAATTATAAAATCTATTCATTTTTCACAAAGCCCAAACAATACAAAATTGTTTAATTCCCAAAACTGCTATTTTAAAATTTCGTCATTTTCCTCCTTTTTCCTTATTTATTAAATATTTTTTGATGCAAAAAATTTTGTAAATTTTTGGAATCTATTTCCTTTAAAAATTTTTTTTCCCAAAGTAAGCTCTCAAAATTATAGACTGAATTGTAAAATTTTTCGAAACTTTTTACATACTAGCATTTATTTATCATTATATTTCTTCGATACTTCCCGGTATTTTTTCCCTCATTGTATCTATAATAAACATGATATTTGTAAATTCAAATAGTACAAAAATTTTCTTGATATATTAAAATGATATTTGATGGATACAATTGAAGTGCAGTACTGATAATTT